TTTTTTTAATTGCTTTTATCTTACACATCAATCAATGATTGAATCAAAAGTTATGATTAAAGAGCAAAAGCGAAAAAAAATGTCTGGGGGTATTAAATAATTATAAGGTTAACTTTTTAATATTCAGTTTTTTTATGCTGATCGTCGCAGACAGTAATTTTAAGTACATAGATGTCATTTACTTTTGATAATGATTATATTTTACATTTAAGTATTTTCATTGTCGTATTTTCCTCTTTCTTAGACAAATTTCAATAATTACTTAGCTAACGTTGTTAAACGTTTTTATAGAATATATTAATATGGTGTATAAAAATGTATTTTTAAGCAATTAAGTTACATTTCAAATCTAACAAATGTGATTCCAATTTTAAAGAAACACCAGTTGCTATTCAAATATTTTCAGGAAGGCACTCCACTGGTCCCACGATAACTTTCGAATTCGTGTAATTACTTATTTACCTCCCTCTCGGAATACCTACAGATAAAATTTTAAAAAATGTCATTTAGTTAAAATATGAAAGTACACAAAAAACTACAAAATCAAAATAATGTAAAATACAAGTCGTAGTTGCCTATAATGTGTAAAGGTGTAATATTTTAAACATATCGAATATGTACAGTATTGATAATAATCACAAAAACATTCCTGTACATTTCGTATTTGTATTTAGAAGTTTTAATATTAATGGAGCAAAATATATACAGTACGCCAGAAAGACATTGATAGATTTGCATTTGGTGTTTATAAGACATTCAAATTTCCTGTAAAAAGCGATCAAGATTAACTATATCTTCATATTGAAATCTCATATAAATACCGTTTATGATCATTAACAATTGATATTAAAAAATTGAGAATTATTATCCACGAGACTCTATTTATAATCAATTCGTATAGATTAAAAAAAATGAAATCTAGTCTGCGCATGATCTTACCTGTTTTTCTTTTTTTCTTCAATAAAGATTTGAAAATCGCATTTTCTTAAAATATGAGACAGTGGTAAAATTATATTACCTTATTTCGCTCATATACATCATGCTTACTTAATATCTGAATTTCAAATAAAACTAAACATAATTCTATGTCACATTTTTGCAAAGAGTAATTGAAAGCAAGCAGAGGTTATATATCACCACCCAAAATTAGAAGAGCGATGTATTATTCTGTTCACTTCTGCTTTTTGTATTATCAACTAAAACTTCTGCCTTCCTTTGTGTGGTTACTAAAAAGGATTTCACGCATAAGTCGCCCTCAACAATGGGGCCTCACGCCGAAGTTTGAAAGGAGTGAAAAAGAAAAGAAAATATCCTAATCCTGTCAAGTCTCAAATAAAATATTAGAAAAATACAACGAAAAGACATGTCGTCATTTGTAGGTGTTTTTTCTTTTCTTTTTTATAGCATAGTTTTCTAAATGTTTTTTGTACTACTGCAATGATGTGTGTTCTAAATTACTTTTTTTTCTGGTAACTGTTCTATCACACTATGAAAAAATATTGAAGTGTTATCCTCAGCAGATCTTCTGGCTGCTTGTTTACCTCACAGTTCAAAACATTTGTTTTTTCAGTTGGGGAAATTATCAAATTGCTATCATTTTAGTAAGACAGTATAAAGAAAGGTTTGGACAATGGTATAGATAATGACGACAACATTAAGAAGAAGGTGTCCTGGGTTTCTTGGTCTAAAATGTGTGTGAACATCGATCTCTTCAACTTTGATTTGTTCATGCGATATTTTGCAGTTTCAATCATATGTATCTTCATGATCTCATGTAAAATCATTTATATTGAATTTTAGGTCTTCAAACATAAAAGAATTATCTAATCATCTAAGAATTATACAATTGTTTCGCCTGTTTTGGTTGGGAGTGAACTGGGCCAGAGGAAAAAGAGCTCTGATTCAGATTCGTTAGAGGTAAGGAGACCATTTGAAAGAAACGTGTTCTGTTGTCCATCTAAATCCAGTGTTTGTACCTCACAAACGTGATTTTCGAAGGATTAGACTGAAGGAGTTTAAGTAGCGAGATAAGTGTTCTTGAGGAGCCTGTGGTACTTTGAAAACTGCTTTCCCACTCAATAGGTCAGTAATTTGCTCACCTGTTTCCGAAGTCATGTTTAAAGCCCAGTCCAATACTTTTTGGTGGGCGTAGATACTTAACTTGTGCCCCTCTGTCACGCTCTCATGTGTATCCCGACGCAGACTGAAAACATGCTATTAACATATGACATCTAAAGAGGCATCACTCGTTAACATGAATATTTCACTGACAGTGGCATACTGTTGTTACGGACATTATCTGAATAATTTCAATGTGATACTTTTCCTCATTTCAAAGGTCATTATGATTACAGCTTATTTCGCCTTTGGACATAAAACGCAAAATCCTTCCCAGAGCCCATTTTACCCACTTATTACAGTGCGTGTGTGTAGAGATACAGTACAAGCAATCGCGTGTCCTGGATATACGTCTGCTTTCCTCAAGTTGCTCGAAATGAACATTTTGTTTAAGTTTTTATTGTTTTTTAGCCTTAAAGGTGTCTATTACGTTTTGCTTGCTCGCTCCTTTTTTTTTTTGCCTGTGCCTACGTGTGTTTGTGTGTTTGTGCATATGCAGATATTTAACTGCAAGCAATAGGCTGCCCTATCACTGCGCCAGTGACAAGATAGGCCCGTCCTAAAGAGCAACCCGCTATTGTTTGTTTCCTTCACAGAGTGCTTTATTGTCCCTTTTCTGTTCAGAAGCAGCGATTATGAGGTAGAATTACAAAGGAATGTCGCACACTTACCACAAAGTAGCGGAATATTGTGTATGACAAGGGCCACGTTATGAAGATCGTGGATCGTGGTAAGCACAGATGCAAGGCAAAGCTCAAAACTGATTGCCAGTAACGGTATAGATTAGCATGGGGTCTGCAGCACAATGATTCTGATCAATACCCCTGCACTTACATACCAGATGGCTTGGAAAAAGACAAAAAATGAAAAAAAAGAACAGTTCAAATCGACCCATAGTCATCCAGGCCTCCGTTCTCTTTCCTTTAAAATGAACAGAACCGCGTTAGATGAATTCAGAGACGATTACAATATAATCGTATGATTTGTCTTTACTTATATAGCATTCACGCTTAAATGTATTATTTTTGTTGTTGCTGCTGAACACCAAATTAATAAAATCACCAACTTCTCATAGATTCCTAAAGTCTACCTTTTAAACCTTAATGTGTGCGAAAGAAGTTATAGGAATATGCATCAATGATAGCTGTTGCAATTTTGTGAGGCCTTTATCTAAATATGTTTTAAGCATTTCATTGCATTGGTTTTTATTTACTTAATTTCCCTGCATAGTCAAAAAGGTTTAAGGGCTGATTTGCGTGTAACAATTAACTATATTGTTCGACTGTATCGCAATTCATGCGAAATATCAAAACTAAACTATCGTGCATAGTTAAGGTTTAAATAAGTCATCGGTCTATGCGGTCTAAAAGAATAACAGGAAGCAACCACACATTTTCCTACTTTTATTGCAACACGGTGTACTTTAAAAATAAGTACATCAATAATTTGAAATGTGGGTTCTTGAATGCAGTCACATTTCAAAACTTTCAAAACAGAACTTAATCATTTATTAGTCAATCTTCCAGTTCAGGCTTTTGTCAATAATTAAGCGGATTACAGATTCTTTTATCAGCGAAGCTACACACAACATATAAGAGACTGCTTAATACTGTTCATTGATAAGAAAAACAAATCGAACTCCATTGATAAAATGCTAATTTGAAACTTTTTGTAGAAGGCCTGAGACTATGTTGCTAGAAAAAAATAAACCAACTCATACATGAAATCACCGAACTACCTCAGGAGGAAAACCGAAGAAATTGAAAGAGTAAAACTAAAGAAAGCAGAGTCAAATTATTGCTTTCCTCGTGTAACCCGTTTTATTTCATAAAATAATTTTAATTTCTAGCCACGCACAATTATGTCACGGTGTTATTTATTTTTTTCCTGTGGTAAACTGCGGTCTTTCATTGTTGTCCTATAAATATTCCAGGTTTGGATATTCTTCCCCAAACATAAGGTTACGAACAGAACAACAGCAGAAAAACAACGCGGATAAAGTTCTCTCTGAAACATTCTTGATACCCCAGAATTACCTCTTCGTACACATACGATACATAATAATAATAATAATAATAATAATAATAATAATAATAATAATAATAATAATAATAATAATAATAATAATGTGATGGCAAAACTTGAAAACTAACCCGCCAGCGAAAATTCATTGCAGGTACAAGTGGCGACTTCGCCAATTTGTGCTCAAGTTGTCCTGACAGCTGAAACTGCTTGGCTGAAGGCCCTCTGTGGAAGAAGACCCCCTGCTCTTCTTTTGACAGCTGATCAAAAGGAAAATAGGTCACGCTTCTCAAACTTCTGTCCTCCTGTCCTTAATTACAGCCTCTTTAAACAATGGTAACATCTGCGCAATCTCAGTCAAAATCGCCACCCAGGGCAAATGAGAGCAACCTGCTTCCGAAGAAATCTGTTACTTTTAAAAATCTAAATCCGAATGGAACCTGTGCTATTTGTGTGCAAATCGTCTTTTGTCCTTTTAAAAGAAACATCCCCTTGTGGTTTAAGGACAGAAATGGGTTGGTGCCTCTCCAAACCTCATGGTGTGCCTTTGTGACCAACTTCAAAATATAGTAAATGCATATTGCGTCCTGTACAGTATAGTACAGGTTTTAACCGCGTCTGAATTAAGAGCGCGTTTACCAATATAAATGGTCCGGCGGCCAATAGTTTAGCCTCCAGAAGACTTCACAAGAGTCGCTTTAAAATCATGCTGCAACGTTATTTTTTTAGTTATGGACTACATGACTACATGACTACATGAATCAGGCTTATTTTGTATAGCCGTGATTTAATCAGTGAGTTTGATAAAAATGAAGAGATGTGTTCATTTACATGACAACATTCACAAGCTTTTCCGTTTCTTTTCTAAGTCACCTGTGAGCCGAAAGAAAGTAAAGATCTAGCACTCAGCTTTCATTTGAACATTTTTACATCAGAATCTAATTGTGTTTTAAAAACGGGGATACGCGAAAAAAAAAATTAAGGCACTTTAATAGGCATTAAAAAAGAGTGCGTATGTCTCTGCCTTAACTATACAAGCCGAATACATGTCTGTCTTCGCATTCAAAACTTGATTTATTTTTGAGAAATTGAAAACGACTCCCATAAAATGACTCAAACAAAGCATCGCTTATAAGGCTAATAAAAATATAGGTATACACAAAGTTACTTTAATATATAAGACAAGTTTGTTTTTTGAATACCAGGACAGTATCGTCCAGAAGTCGTCGCCAGGGCTGTACGTAAATAGTAATCATTCACCGCTGTGATAAGATAGCGACGCTGTCCTAATCTATGGTAAATATTAAGGAACAGCTAAATCCAGGTAATGCTAAGCAAGTGATTCATTGTAGAATACTATCTGGTAAGAGATAAAGGGAAAAGAAAGGGTTACTGTGAGTTGAAAAGAAATCCAGACTTTCTGACGTTAGAGTCCAGATGCGAGGGCTGCTTGCGATCGTCAACCGAGCATGAAAACTCGGAGCGCCCTCCCCCACTAGAATTCAATTGGACGAGCCGCCTCCGGGACGCGTTCAGCCAAGCACGGGAAGAGTGGCGATTGGATAAAGGAGACGTCTGTTAGCAGGAAATCCCCGCCCCCCCCTCCACCGGGATAGGGTGATCGTATAGCAAACCCATCCTGGACAGCTCCAGCTGCTTAAACAGAATACGTAGGAGGAGGAGAGGGCTCGGACATGGCGAGAATCAGCACTGGCCCGTCTGATAGAGATCGGTAATTTTTTTTTATTTCAAAAACCCGAGAGGCCTTAGAAAAAAAACCCCAATAAAACTCATCCCTGGCACAAAAACATAAAATAGATCAATGGACTGAATGAAGACTGCCTACAACGCCTATAGATGCCTGGCCAAGGATCTGGATGCTTACGCCATGAACCCAGAGATGACAATGGACAGTATTGGCAATCTACATGGTGGAGTAAGCCATGAGCAGGATTTGATGAGCAGTCACAGTCCCCACCACGACCGAAACACGGGGGCTTCTTTACGGATACATCAGGATTTGGCTACTGCATCTTCAAGATCCGCTATGGTGTCTAGCATGGCTACGATCCTGGACGGAGCCGCAGAGTACCGACCGGAATTGTCTCTCCCGCTTCATCACGCCATGAGCATGCCGTGCGACACATCCCCGCCCGGGATGGGCATGAGCGGCACCTACACCACGTTAACTCCACTCCAACCCCTACCCCCCATTTCTACGGTGTCCGACAAATTCCACCACCCTCATCACCACCATCACCACCACCACCACCAGCGTCTCTCTGGGAACGTAAGCGGGAGTTTCACGCTGATGCGGGACGAGAGGGGTTTACCAGCAATGAACAATCTCTACAGCCCCTACCATAAGGACATGACAGGGATGGGTCAAAGCTTATCCCCCCTGGCCAGCAGCCCCCTCGGCAACGGCTTGGGCTCCATCCACAACACCCAGCAAAGTCTCCACAACTACGGCGCCCACGGGCACGACAAGATGCTGGGCTCCAACTTCGATGCCCACACTGCCATGCTGGCCAGGGGCGATCAGCACCTCTCCCGAGGCCTTGGTGGCCCCTCGGCAGGTATGATGCCGCATTTGAACGGGATGCACCACACTGGTCACCCGGGCCACCCTCAATCCCACGGGCCCGTGTTGGCTTCCAGCCGGGACAGACCGCCCTCCTCCTCTGGAACGCAAGGTAACAATTCGGGGCAGCTTGAAGAGATCAACACCAAAGAGGTGGCACAGCGGATCACCGCGGAACTGAAGCGGTACAGCATCCCCCAGGCTATCTTCGCCCAGCGGGTGCTGTGTCGCTCGCAGGGGACCCTTTCCGACCTCTTAAGGAACCCCAAACCTTGGAGTAAACTTAAATCTGGGAGGGAGACCTTCAGGAGAATGTGGAAATGGCTTCAAGAACCCGAATTCCAGAGGATGTCGGCCTTACGGCTAGCAGGTAAGACAAGGTATCCTGATAAGAGCTCTATTTACGGAATTGCTCCCAGCTTGCAAATCCATGTTTCTGAAACCTTCCACTAAAACAGAGTTCGAGGTACGGAATAAGTTCTACTTTAACCCTACTGTACGACTTTGATCTGTAATGATTCCCCCCCATTATAAACAGTAAGCTCCATGTTGTTAAATTATTCAAATTTATTAAAAAAAAACTATTTTAGTAGGTATTTAAATGTGATCAATTATTAGCCGTCGCAGTTTTAATCATTTACCTGTTTGTCTGAGCAAAGTTTAGATGATATATTGATAAATGGCTTCAGATAGTCCAAGAGTTGTTTATATTTGTAAGAAATATGATAGCATCTCCTGCTAAGTTCTAGATTCTGCGTTGCTTTCAGTTTATTAAATAAACTGAACGAAAATTGCATTTGTAAAGGAACACTATTTTAGTGACAAGGTGGATTGTATATGCACAACGTCCATGCATGTACTGTTATACGTTTGTGTTCATGTATTGTTATGTAAAGGATCATTTTTTTTTTCATTTTGACCTATTTAGAGGTTGAAGGTGGTTAAAGGGGGCTCACCTGTCGAGGATTTTGTCTTTCTGCAAAATGACATTCGGGGGGCTTTTACTGGGACGTGTCTTGTGTCTTGTGTCTTGTACGAAGTTATTGAAGACATGCTGCCCGAGACGTAATTCTTCTTGCTATTAGCCTGGGATGATAACTTCAGCTATATCTAGCGAAGACAGGTTGCAATACAAGGCATTTAAACAATACATTTAAAAAAATCTGTGTCGAATGATCATTTTCTATCTTGAAGGACGTCGCGAATCAGGCCTTTTGCGTTTCATTTTGACGCGAATTATTATTATTATTATTTTCTCTGTAGAGAAGTTGTAGAATGTGGATCGTGCCGATGTACACCTGGACTGTACACCTGAAATATTTGTAAACAGTGCGGACAACGAGGACTGCTCGCTTGTTAACAACGGAAAGTTTTGCTTATTCATTATATGTAAAGCAGAGTTGGGAATGCTTTTTTCTTCAGATTATCGCTTCCAGCAAAAGTAACACGACCCCCGCAAACCCAACATTTAGTTTAAAACATAACTCGTTTTCAAAGAATCCTTAGATAAGTGATTTCCTATGAGCTATATTGACCTAGTTCCAAACTATCCGATTCATTGAAAAAAAACATTAATAGTATAAAGAAAACAGGGAGGAAATTTGGATTTGTACCGTGAACAGTTTTATTGTAAGGTTTGTGCGCCCTCTAGCGATAGAAAAACGAACCTTTAATGCAACGATTTCTTTTGTTCCGCTTAAGATACAAATAATAAAAAATAAGGTAAAATGCTTTCATGTTAACGTTTTCACGATTTCAGTTATGATTAAACTACGAGTCCAAATATTATTTATTGGCGATAAAATCAGTGTTATTAGGTTTGTGTGCAGATCACAACAAATTAAAAATAGAAACATTATAAACAGGTTCCTAATTACATATGAGATTACTGACTTTTTAAACACGTTAAATGTGAAAAAGTAAACGCGATCACAGATGTTCAGACCATTTTTAATGACTGAATATAACATTATAAAGCAATTGCTAAAAATAATAATGTAATAGAAAGTCGGTAATCTGACTGTACAATGGGAAATGTGTTAGAACTTCCTAGACTGAAACTGAGGCAATGTAACATTTATTGCTGGATACTGTGGTACTCGAGTTAGCCCTTTGTGCCTTAAGATTCAATGCATTTTAATAACGTTGCCACCTTTTTTCGTAGAAAAAAAGGGCAAATAAAATCATTAAATAATTTTAATAATACAAGTTGTCAGGCCAAAGCAACCTATTTTTGAAAAATATTTTATGCTATGGGTATCTTGTGTAAGTGATCGTGGATGTTGATTCTTATGCAGCACGATATTGGCATAAACCCTGCCAATGAATACAGTATTTGTATTTGAAACACGCCTTGTGAAATATTGAATTTTCACGCGCTGTAAGATCTTTAAAGAATCTACATCATTTCATGCTAGCAGCTAGCTAACCCGATAGACCGTTTACTCCCATACACGCATACCGTATAGTTTTATACAAGTACATCCGCACATGATCAAAATGAAAAATGAAATATTTTGCACATTGCTCGAATAATTCTGAAGTACAATATTTGCGGAGTCTTCTTGGGTTGTGACGCCGGACCCTGCCTCGGGCAGAAAAAAAAAACGCTAATTATTTTAAACCGGGGTCCTTGTGTTGCAGTTTTCTCCCTAGGAAGATCTTTAACCCACAGATGGTGCTACACGCCTCGGTCGGTTTTTGGAGGGAAGGTATTATGTGTGCGGAGGGGCTGTGGGGATTGAAAAGCGGGGGCCTGGCCGCGGCGGCTCAATGAATTATTGATAGAAATCTCTGCATGACCCAGAGCCGAAACGTCACCTTGTCTTGGGTTAACCAGGCAAGATGTGGAGCTGAGAGCGAGGCCTTTGTTCTTTATTCGGCAACATAAATCTTTCATATCCCCAAAATACGTATAGAAAGTCATTGTGCGCTCACAGCTGTATAGGCCTTCCTTAAATAATTCGTTTTTGATACATCGACGCCCAATGTAACATTAAGCGAAGGGCCTCAAAAATATGGAAGGCCACTTTCCAGTTACAAACAAGCACGAATAATAATTGGTATTGATCAATTTAAGAGTATCACTGCGAGGGAAGGATTTAGAATTTCTGCTTAGGTTCTTGCTAATATTATGAAAAGCGTTTATTAAGCACAGGGCTTTACGTTTTTTCAAAATAAACCCTGTGGTTCATTCTTTAATTCATTATATGCAAGATCAGGTAGACGCCGAGGTGCTGTCAATGCCTTTTTTTTTTACCATGTTGGCGTTGTAATGCGCGAAAAGGTTTAATCGTAGTACATCGCACGCGTTGCAAGCGCCACTCATCATCAAGCAATTATAGGCGTTTTGCTCTGCGCATGAAAAGGAGACCAAACACAACAACAGTAGCATTCTGAAGCCTCAATCGTTACGAACTCGTTTATTATGAAAGCACAAGCAAGCCAGACCACCACTGATCAGTAGCGGAATGTTTTTTAAAAGAAAGATTTGCAGATAAAGATCCGCCTTCACTTGGGATCGGGTTTTTGAAGACTCCCGGACTATTGTTCTTGGGCGCAGTGTTGGGAGACCTGCTGAGGTTTCGTGGAGTGCAACGCCACTAAATGTGGAATAATCACTGTGCGACACGACACAAGAGATTACACGACATACACTAGCCCTGATTCAAGGACGATTTCGCTAAGTGGACAGACTTTTGTGAACCTAAATTATAGGCTATACAATATATGCTTTGGGTTTTTTATGATTCATTTGTTTGGATTTTACATTCACAGGTATTGCAATACACTTGTATGTATTTCAATGCGAATATAAAAGGACCATTTAATGCTTTTTAATCCTTGAACTACATATCCTCCAAGCAAGGAACACACTCTTCCTGCCAGCCCATTTTCAACCACTTATGGCTGTTTGCTTGAATAAGTAAAATTAATAATTAAACAGCCCTGTGTTGTTGTTAGTCCTTGCCTCTAGCATTCCCTGGTGAAATAATAACACCTTCCAAATATGCATTAATGTAGGATCCCAGAGAGCATTGAGGGAAGGAAGAAAAAGGCACACGAAAACATTGGAACAAGATCCAATGGTGGTGGTGGTGGAGGGAAGCTTCCCTCGTTTATTTTTATTCCAATCTTTCAATCGTGTGGTTATGTCACTTTCTAAAACAAATGTGTGTATATAGATGTAGATCGATGCGGATAATCTCTTGAAGATTAAAAGGGCATTAATGCTGGCAACAATAACATAAACGTGTGGACCCAGTTCTCATTGATTTGGAACCTGATCCCGGCTGCTTCCAGTAAAGCTGACGCTGGTAGTCTCTTCCCAGCACTGGGCTCAACTTCGGCCTGGTGTCGGCCCCTTTTGCAGGTCGCTTTCCGCGGGCTTCAGGATCGGGAGCGTGCGGTGCGGTAGGCTGCGATTAGACTCATGGTGCCCATGGGGGTTATTTAACTGAACCCCCACTCAAGTCACACTGTCCGCATGGGGCATCCAAAAAGTACACGTACACTTTCACAACCGGCATAAATAAGGACCTGCTGCGCGAAGACCGTAAGAAAAGGGAGCTACAGTTTTTGTGTTCCATATCACCATCGCTGCTGGTTATAATGTCGACGATCTACAGTACTCTGTTGTTGCTTTTTGTAGCCACGTTGGTTAGAAAATTAGCGGTGCTATTTATTTGACGTGTAACGCAGTCAAATCTGCAAATATCGAATTGATTTCACTCAACGCTGTCTTAAAATCTCGTAATAAGTCATCCGTTGAGAGTTATGAATAAGGGTATCTGAATACCATGGAAGCGCTGGGGTGCTGTACGATTTAGTGAAAAACCATTATGCTCTTCTTGGTAACTCTTAAACTGACATACTGTATACAACTATCAAGCTTTTTAGAAAAACAAAACCATTTGTTTTGCCACACCAATATTTAGAGTTAAGTTTTGATTTAGTTTAGTTTCTGTTCATTAGAAGGGGGGAAATACGAAAATTATTTAACGGACTTGCAGGTGAAAAAATAAAAACGAATTTTCAGCTTCAAGGACAAAACTATATATTTTAACAAACGACAAAGATAACGTTCCTGTTACAAGGGATTGTCCATTGACAATTATTTTAATAATGACCAAAAAATCGATCTTTAGTTATTGATTCGGTTGTTTTCTTTGTAATAACGATATTAACAACGGAATGTATATTGTTTGCTAAAAAAAAAAAGAACTGCCTCGGTCCAGCTGTCTGCGGAGTTACTCAACTGTATTAATTGCTGCGTGAGACGCTGACTGCGTAAATGAGCAAGCTCACGTTTTGATTTTTTTCCGGCACTTTTTTAGATAGAAAGATAGCAATAAATACAACGGATGTTCATAATCTCACCAGGAAATAATATCAACAACGCGAGTTACGTTATTATGGCGTTATTATATGGTATTGTATCGTATGGTATTGTCACAGTATTGTGTTTTGTAAGATTGAATTAACAGTACATCCAGTGCAGTATACTTTCACAGTTCCGCTTTGAAAGCTTGGCATACTATAATCCAGTTGCGGAATTTTCCCCATTAAAAAGACTTTCATTTGTCATGTTTTCCATGCACTTGTCTTTAATGCAAACAAGCTCTACACATATTTATTTATTTGAAACTGAGCCTGTCAAAGGGCACCTTTAACTTGGATTTGCCGTGGAAAGCAATGAAAGCAGTATTGGTTTGCTGGCCACCAACTTCTAGTACTGTATGCGGTTTTCCTTCAATGTTTACGTCTCAAGTACTAACCAGAACTCTGCTCTAATGTACAAAAACTGCCAATACCCATTTAGATTGATCATGTTAAATGTCTTCATTTCATACTAATATGGCTTGCCCAGATCTGAATTTTTAAACCCATTTGTTATGGATGATTTTCCAGCAAATAACAAAAGCTGCACCCTTCTCTCTCTTTTTTTTGACATATACAGATTAGGCAGGTTAGACCACGAGCAGTTAGATCATCTTGCTTGCCTGGCTTCATACCAAAGAGACTTTGCAATGGGATTATTGATTGCTGTCAGCCAAAGTTGTGTAAAGTGCAAAGCATAGTCCTGTTTAAATCCAAAAATGCTCTGCTTGTTTACATTTTAACTACTGCCAATCAGCATCTACACTGCACCAAAAAAGTGTATTTAAGGTGTATTTAAATCCTGTTTGATATGCCACTAAGGCTACAAAAAATTTAGGACAGTCATTTACAATGCAACCTAGCTGTCAAAAGCAATAATGGCTCTCCCACCATATTCCTCTGTAGATCCTGAATCTTATAAGCTTCTTAATTACTTAATTGGAACTAATGAAGACCAATAAATCAGTTAAAGAACTGGAAGATATAAATTCGTGAAAAAGAACGTAATTTACATGCCAACACAATTACAGTGTCTTCCTACTGAGTTAATTAAAAAATGATTCAAATTATTGGCTTCAAAACACAAGGCTTCAAGGCATCTGAAAGTTTAATTGGCTCTCTGAGAATTTCAAAATCCAATTAGTTTTTCAGTAATTCTTCCCAGTAATGCTTTGCATTAAGGCCAAACAGAATTTGCTGCAGATGTGAGAAAATGTCAGGCACCTGCAGTTTGATTTAAAAATAATCCCATCATTATTATCAGCCCATTTTTAATATACCGAAGCACACTGCTGTGCTAGGAATATTCAGAGAAATTATGTGCAGAAGAACTGACTGTGGTGTTGTGTTGCACATTATCTTCCTCTGAAGTCAGGCCTCTGAGTAACTAAATATACTGTGATCCCTGAACAGGTAATTGGAAGAGTCATCTTGGAAATATATTGGCAAGCCTGTTCTCCATTTGCTAAGAAAGCAGTGCTAATAGAGAAGAGAGGCATCATGCAGTTGTAGGTTTAAGTTCGACTTTGATGACAATACAGTATGTGAGGCAGCTTTTATCTTTTCTAAACACATATCATGAGTATTGTGATTGTTGTGCAATAATAATCTGATAATAAATTGTTATTTTTGTTTTGAACTGTTCACTGATAGTTTATGTGGAATTGTGCATTCCTTTGTCAAACTCTCTATATGTTGCCGAGATGTAGAAATGGGATTGTCCAACGAATGACTAAAAATGTTAATTAAATTATATAATATGGGGAAAAAAAGGAATAGTAAAAACAAAATGTGTCATAGAGAAAGAAAGTGTCCGTAGTTAAAAAGAACTGATAGACACATTTGTATTTTCTTGAAAACACTTGCAGTTTCAAGTCTCTTTAAAAAGTAGAGAAAAAAACTATGTGAAACTCCAATTGTATTTTTATTCTCAGCGCAACTTATTTATTTTAAAAAAAATAGACCTAAATAAGGTCAAAGAATCTCTAGATAACATTCTAGAATTAAAGACAGATTGGTTACTTATTTGCAAACCATCAAAATGTTGATAAAGCAGAAACAGATCAGTAGTAAGGTAAGCAGAAAGTAACATTACTGCATTAGAATTGAAGTTTGCATTCGTAACTGTTGTTTATGTGCTTAAAAAGATACTCTACATAAACACAGTCCATTGGAAGTATCAGCAAAACCAATAACTATAGCATTTTAAGATACTCTGCAGTGATCTGGTGAACATGGACTATTTTCTAAGTCATAATCACCTTAAAAAATATAGAAAATGTCTATTAAAGACAGACTGTCCCTGAAATAAACTGCTTCAAGTAACAGCTCAAAACCCCACACCGGCATCTGGTCTCTTCACTGGTCTTTAGATTCATTATTGCCCTGCCTGCAGGAACAACCAAGAATCACAGGTTACAAAGAATCAAGCCATTATTTTCCTGTGTAAATGAAAATGTGCTACATTTCCTTATAAACCATAGAAGAAGAACATCTGTCCAAACAAACTCTGAAACAAATGCTTTTTTTAACCACTTAAATCTTGTGTTCAATATGAGAGCTTTCCATACACATATACCATGCAATTATAATTTTCAGCAAATGAGAGATTCAGTGCAAGTTGTACAAAGGAGAGCTCAAATCCAAAATTCAGATACGAAATTTTAATCTTACATAATTATCACCTACATTTTATAGGAATGCAAGATGTCACAGTGGGGTTCAGTGTTATTTTGAAATAAGTTTCTTACGAAAGGCCTTCTGGAGAGTTGTGCAAAGAGACACTATCAATGTCTCTAAACCCCAGAAATGCAGACGTTGCTATTTACAGTTGTCACATAACTCCCATATCCTGAATAAAGACCCTTTGCTGCCAGAGTCACATGGCAGGGTTATCGCCTGCTTTCTTAACAAACTACGCCTGTAGAGTGGAATTCAATTCTATCATTTTTATGCTCTTTGATATGCAAATAGCACCATTAAACTATTAAAACCTCACCAACCAAGAAGAGCAATTGTCTTTTTTAGAAACCGAACCATTTCTAGAATAACAAAATGTATTTTCTCTGTCATAGTACAATGAACTTTCTAACTGGACGTTTTGGAAGTGTTCTGAAAAAGACCTTGGTCTAGGAAGCTATGGATACCCGTCCTTGGACAGAGGTGGAACATTGTCCTTGGTGATTCAGTTTCGCTCAGTGCTGCAACACATTTGATGATGGTATTATCAGCGTCCTTTGCCAAGAGAAGAAATGGATGTACTGTACTTGTCTCAAACATTTCGGACATCACGTAATGTTTCACACATTTCATGGGATTCATTTCAGGCTTTCGTTTGCAATTTTGGTTCAGATTTTTATTTGCAATATTTGTTCCGATTTGTATTTGCAATTTGTGTTCAAATTTTCATTCAGAAGCATGTTCTTCCCTTTAGACTAAAGTTGCATTGGTAGCTCTTCAATAGCAGAGGTAGGTGTCTGTGCTCCGTGGTTACGCTTGTTGAAAAGTTATGAAAGTTTACACAGTTTTGAAACAATTTGTTGCCTCTCACTAACCTGCATTTCCTTATTGACTCTTGCTTCTTTGGTTTCAATGAAGTATGCCTTGCTAAGAGCCTCTGAAATGATTCCTGGTGTTTTGTTAGACCGCATTAATAATATGGCCTGTATTTTAATAATGAATTTTACCTGTCTTTACCAGGGAGTTACTGTAATCAAGATGAGGCAGCACAGCGACTTATGATTTCTGGTAAAACACTTTTTTTCCCCCCTCAACATTACTCTTATGCAATTGCGGTCCTTTCCAAACCAGCAATGTTTTGTGGTGTACAAGTAGCTCTTGGCCTTGCATTGTAATTGATTGTGTGTATCTTTATTTCTATTGTATTTTAATGACATATTTTTAGCTATAGTATCAAATAATGTCTATGGTGATGGAAGATATCATGCTTCACACAAACATGGAAAATCACATGCAATTGCAGTACAGAATTTAATTATTTAAAATTCACTTTAAATTTAAAACAGCCCATTCATACAGTATGTCACGTAGACAAAATAGGAATGTTTAAGAACTTTTGTCATTATTAATGACATTTGACACTTTTAATAAGGCACGAGAGTGGTACTATAATTAAGGAAAGACTCTTTACAGTGATACTGTACATACCATACACAGTATATACCATAGAAGGGATTAAGAAAGATTTAAAGTTAGGGATTAAAACGTTTCTTACTGAAATATGACTGAGGATTTCATTAATTGGTGAAAAGGTGATTTTTTATCAAAACATTTATTTTCAACATGTACCCGTTAGCCAGCACTGGTTCATGTTTCAGTTTAGTGAAGGTCAGTCTCTTCAGGCCCATATTCCAGTGCACACTAATTGCTGTCTGCACTTTTCTTCACACTCGTCAAGCTCATCCCAAGGCAATTAAATATTAAGATCAGGCAATTTAGGAGTCCAATGGATTCATTTTTTGCGACATTTTTAGTTTTAATAATTTTAGTTTACCCTGGCCATGTGTTTACTGTCATCATCACTTTACAGATCAAATCTTAACTTCCGGTTGCCTTGCATGACATTGTTAAATTGAATAAACTAATTACTGTATATACTGTATGCACCTGCTATCTTTAATACGTACAATACTTTATTTTTATCTATCAGAACATTCACATTTTACTCTAGATCAGGGGTCTGCAATCCTGATCCCATCTACAGGTGTTTAGTCGAAATGGACTTAAAAATTACTTCAATTTGCTCTTTATTAGCTGAATTGGACCAATTGACAAATTTCTCTCAGCTCTTAAGGCACTACTGCTTTCAAATACTTAGAAAACCTGCAGACACACTGGCCTTCCAGGACCAGGACTTGGAACCTCCTCTCCAGATACTCGCATACCAATTGTGTCCTGGAGCCTCGGGATTTGGGATTTTGCCCCATTCCAGAGCTTTTGACATGTACCCCATCTGAATAAATGTTTCCGTCTCCCTTCATCACACCAGTCTCTTGATAATAAAGCTCTTATATTCAAGAGGCTGTGTTTTGATACGGTAACATTTGATGTGAAATTGATATGAACAACAACTTGAATGCTGGTTAAAAAAAATACTTCAGGATTTTCAAGCATGTGTGTTTCCCCTTTTCTAATTTTCAATATGTTGTGACTGGAGCCTTTACTCAATTGCATACAACACTGTCACTTCATGCAGATGGCCCCAAGGAATCTCTTTCCTTATAGAGGATAATCATAGAAACACCCTTGTTATGTTTTATCCCTTTCCTTGCTGCTGTGGTAAATCATTTGCCATAAACCCACACCTGTACCTCACTCCTATCCTCTGTCAGGCTCTCATCTTTAAAGATTCTTTTTAAGTGAAAAGGGCAAATGTCAGAAAGGGTCCCTACACTGTTTAGTTTCAGCCCACAAGTTGTATTTCTAATTTAGGCTGTACTTAGTTTCAACTCATGCTATTCCTAAGGGTGTGACAACAGACTTTAATGCAGCTAAATGCAGCACAATAGACAGGATATAAATTAATGCTGCAGTAAAATTGTGTGCGCGCTTCTCTTTAAAGAGTAATATTAGCCCGGGATGTGTGTGTGCTTCCCGGACACTCAAGGTCAGTGCTGGCCACTATCAAGAGCACAGATAGAATGGGTCCTAGTGTTTGCTGGTGCCAATACAGTTTGTGCCATTCACAGCGTACGGCCTGAGTAGTGTTCAACTCATCCTGCGTTGCATGTATGGGGTGGGGTATATTTTAAAAAAAGTGATCCCATGGTCGCCGAGCCATATACACAACAGCACTGTCTTGTTAATTGGTTGCCATGCGTGTCCAATGGCAGACTTGGTGGACTGTAGTGTGAGAAATAAGGACAGTCTCAAGCACATCCGTGAGGATGGGATCCTATTCCTAGAGCTGAGGCTAATCAGGGAGCAGAGGTCGATCAATTTAAATATTGACTGCACTTTAAATTTCTAATATAAAATGGTGATTCTAACTGTATTGATTTTTTAACAAAGTAATTCTTTTGCCTTTGTTGCCCGACGAAGAGCCTGCTTGGTTGATATGCTCGACCACATCGTGACATGCCACGCTCTCTTTTGTGGATGCATTTTCTATTTTCCATCCATGAACGGTATGACAAATTATTCCATTTTTTCTTCTCCAACTGGAGAGAGGATTTAATTTTTTTTCCCCATGCTGGAGCACTCATCGACCTCTTCTTTTTAGACAGGGGCTTTTTTTTTTTTGTCTGTTTGTTTCACCTCTGTGGTGAGTCTGAAAATTACCTGTCAAGAGATGGTGAACTGAGTGGTGTGAGAAACACTCAATAATTGAAATAATCATCTTGGATCGCAAACTGTGATGTGGGTGTGCTTTGTTCTCTTTTGTGTGGCCTCTTGTGCCCCTGAGCTGTGCTCATACAGTATATCCACTGCTACCCTTTTTTAACAATTTGTCTTAAAAGAGTGCTTTTACCATAGGTTGCATTTGGCCAATACTCGGTAGTAAGTGGTTTGAATGTGTGTGTTTTTGTTCATTTCAATGAGCTTTGGTGTTCATACCGGAGTATAAATTTGGTCAAACCGTCTCAAAGCGAAAGCTCAGAATATAAATGGAGAACTTCCCTAGGGCCTGATACTCTGTGCAATATCTGATAAAACTAGATACACAATGTTAATTCATTTTTTCTTGAGCAGACATGATTGCTACTAATAATAATAATGTTGATTATAATGTAATTGTTCCTATTTAAGAACAGTGCAGCTACCTGTCAGTTAACGTTTTAAAACCTTGGCCCCTTATTATAGTCTGTGTGGAATACGGCTCCTGTGTGGAATTAATTTATGTCTTTCTTTGCTGTGTTTTGTAGCCCCTTTTATCATTTTAGTATTCTGTTTTACTGGATTAAATCATCAGCTACCATCAATGTAATTAACCAATCCATTAATTGTTATTCTGTTAGCCTGTGACAGGAACAGACTCTCACTACATTCCAAATGTGTTTAAAAGCAGACATTTTAAATACAATCACCCTTCTTTTCATAACATCTTCTTTCGGGTTGTATTTTGAGTCATCTTGAAGCTTTATAATCTTATTAAAATCTCACATATTTGCATTTCTCTTCATCTGATCTTTCAATCCAAGTATCATCATCTTGTATAGGAAACATACTCCTTTTATTGCAAGAAATACCACGCACTTGAATCTTTATTATGTACTTCCCTTCAGCAACTGTGTCGGTAATTGACCCATTAATGTTAGACTTTGTTGACATGTTGATGTATGCATTTTCAGTGTAAAACATTACCCCCTTTTCTAGAGAACGTTAAATCCGTAATATTTTTTTAAGGAATGAATCTTTCACAAGCAAGGGTGTCTCCCTTAAAAACTATTCATCTTGAAGCAGTGCATTCATAACTCGCACATTATTGATTTCTATACGGCAACTGTCATTTTCTTTGTATTGACATTTCTCCCCCCCCCCCTTTTGGTGCATTTTGTCTGCACGTTTTCGGTTTCATAAGAAACTGCTTTATGAACGTTTATAAAACTGCTCTCCACTGGCTTTCCTTCTCTTAGGTGGGCTAGTATGAAGTCTGGCATGCCTTAGCCTTCTTTATTTGTTCTGGCAGCCGTTCAGAAAATCCTGTTGTCTGTTGTTTTTTTCCCTTTCAAGCTTTAAAAAAAAAAAAAAAAACTGAACGGAGTTCTAAACGAAAGTCCGGGAGGCATGAGGGCAGCCGGACTAATATAGCTCAGCTGCCGCAGCTCACAACTAATTGTGAAGTAATTTCTCAAATTACCATATACACCACATGTCCCTCTCTCCCCTTCCTCGCGTGTTTTTCAATCCCTCCCCCACCCCCCTCTCCAGTTTTGGTGCTCCCCCTTTTCACCAAGCATGGGGGTCCTAGCCTCCCCCATCAGGAGTTTGGCCCTCAGTTACACAGGTTAAGCCAAGTTTCCACAACAAACTCAGTTGACGATTCCACTTTGACACAATCTTCGGTTGCCCTGGTACCTGGTGAAAAACAGTTAAGAATGTGGAAATACAGGGCATCATTTTCTGTGAGGTGTTGAACACCAAAACCTTGAAACGTTAAACATCAAAATGAGGTTTCAGTTGCAGCACAGGCAAGTGTATGGATTCACCGCTCAGGTTCTGGAAGGGTTTAAGGGAGGGCAGAGGTCATCATGAATTAGGAGATATATGAATATGTAATTAGCCATGACCCTTCACAATGTGAGAGAATATAAAGAGATTTTTAATTCTGTTACCCCTGTGTTACTGTAAGTGCAGGCATGCAACCTCTGCAGCTGTTTGATTGAGCTCTTCGACCTGATACAGTACCTTGAACAGATAAACAAGCTTTATTACGATGGTTATCATTTATAGTTAGGACTGTAAAACACCATGAAACGATCGTGATAGTTGATTTAAAATTTAAAAAAAAGATAAGACGCTCCTACATCAAATTTGAAGCGCGTATGTTTTTAACATTAAAAGTCCAATTCAGATTTCTCAAGCAAAGCCGTTTCCTGTTAAATAAAACAACATATACCACTATAGACATTCAAATACGGCTCTCCGGCCGCGGCGTTGAGGTGTTTCGGTCGACTTTACCACAACAAGCCCGTGTGTGCACTTTCTCGGCTGTGCGCTGTTAGAGACTCGGATGCCATTGATTTGCATTTGTCAGAGAGGAAAGATAAGCCATGGACGAGAGAAGC